GAGTATACCTGGTCACTATTGCATGGTGATACAGTATCCCTGGTCACTATTGCATGGGGATACAGTATCCCTGGCCACTATTGCATGGGGATACAGTATCCCTGGCCACTATTGCATGAGGATAGAGTATACCTGGTCACTATTGCATGGTGATACAGTATCCCTGGTCACTATTGCATGGTGATACAGTATCCCTGGTCACTATTGCATGGTGATACAGTATCCCTGGTCACTATTGCATGGGGATACAGTATCCCTGGCCACTATTGCATGGGGATAGAGTATACCTGGTCACTATTACATGGGGATACAGTATCCCTGGTCACTATTGCATGGGGATACAGTATACCTGGTCACTATTGCATGGGGATACAGTATCCCTGGTCACTATTGCATGGGGATACAGTATCCATGGTCACTGTTGCATGGGGATACAGTATCCATGATCACTATTGCATGGGGATACAGTATCCCTGGTCACTGTTGCATGGGGATACAGTATCCCTGGCCAGTACTATTCATGTAGACCTCATATAGGCCTCTTCTGTTAAGATAAACCTTTTTAACATCCAAGTATACAGGCTTAATTGTGAAATTTTGCAGCCTCGGTGCTGTAGATTAGTCTTCGTCCTGTAACTCACCCAGTAATCACTGTCAAGATATTTAAGATGATTAAGCAAAAAGAGATTATGAGGTTAAAGTTGCAAGAGAATCGAAGACTAATCCAAAAGGATTCTTTCAGGTATACAGAAGTAAGATCGAACATTAAAATGGTATAAAATACCGACAGATTGTTAGGTAAGACACATATGCAACAGTTAGGTATCTTTATTTCGAAACGTTTCGCCTACACAGTAGGCTTCTTCAGTCGAGTACAGAAAAGTTGATAGAAGCAGAAGATACTTGAAGACGATGTAATCAGTCCATCACCCTTAAAGTTTTGAGGTGGTCAGTCCCTCAGTCTGGAGAAGAGCATTGTTCCGTTGTCTGAAACAATATGAAGTTGAAGTGACAGAATGGGGCCTTATATAGGGCCAGGAGGTGAGACGTAGGTTGCTTTGGGAGGGCAGGTCCCTCTCAAACCCAGCCGTTCTCACTAGTAGAGGTTGTCAAGTTGATAGTCTGTACCAAGATACCCTTGTGTTGCAGTGTCTGACAGAATGAACATTAAAATGGTATAAAATACCGACAGGTTGTTAGGTAAGACACATATGCAACAGTTAGGTATCTTTATTTCGAAACGTTTCGCCTACACAGTAGGCTTCTTCAGTCGAGTACAGAAAAGTTGATAGAAGCAGAAGATACTTGAAGACGATGTAATCAGTCCATCACCCTTAAAGTTTTGAGGTGGTCAGTCCCTCAGTCTGGAGAAGAGCATTGTTCCGTTGTCTGAAACAATATGAAGTTGAAGTGACAGAATGGGGCCTTATATAGGGCCAGGAGGTGAGACGTAGGTTGCTTTGGGAGGGCAGGTCCCTCTCAAACCCAGCCGTTCTCTACTAGTGAGAGCCGGGAGTCTGTTATGATTCAGGCAGGTGACGCCAGCATGGGCGAGGCACAGAGCCGGGAGTCTGTTATGATTCAGGCAGGTGACGCCAGCACGGGCGAGGCACAGAGCCGGGAGTCTGTTATGATTCAGGCAGGTGACGCCAGCACAGGCGAGGCACAGAGCCGGGAGTCTGTTATGATTCTGTCAAATTGGATACATCTTCAGTATGCTGTTAATCTCTTCTGTGTGATAGCTATTGTTTCTACTATGTAACTGTTACCCTGAAGATTGAGACACTTATGCAACATATGGGAATCTTTAATGAAGAAATGTTTCGCCACACAGTGGCTTCATCAGTCCAGCGCAAAGATTCCCATATGTTGCATAAGTGTTCGGTTCGGTAACGTGAACTGGGTAAAGGATACTCACATAGGCAATGATGGAGTATAATTAAAACGGAATATATGGGAAACGCCCAGCCTGACCTATGTCTCCACTCCCAATCTTTAGACTAACTCACAAAATGGTTCCTAGGGGTGAGCGGGTTCAAAACATGCTAAGGTCAGCTGTAACAGTGAATAACAAGTGATTCACACAGACGGTTGGTAGTGAGTCACTACTGACACTGGTAACTGGTTACTGGTACTGGTACTACTGAGAGCTCGGCGACGCTAATGTATGTCGTCCCGACATACGACTAATACAAACTAAAGACAGGCATACGGCTTGGGCTGATTCTATACAATGTCAAAGTACACAACAATTGAACATTATAACATACGTAAGAAAAATATTGGAATGGAAGCTAACGTAACTTTCTGTAATGAAACTTACTGTATGATATAGCACAACTCATAAAATGAGACTCAACATTGGGATTACACAACAGAAGTGATAATAATAAAAAATTTGATCGATCGATCGATCGATCTGGAATAGTTTTCGCATTTAACTTCCTAAAGTCAATCACTGGGCTCCAAGTACCATCCTTCTTAGGTACTAAGATCAAGGGTGCATTCCAGGGTGAATTGCTAGGTGCAATAACTCCATCATCAAGCATTTGATTGATAAATTCTTCTGCAACAGTAACTTGTGAATCTGGAAAACTTCAGTAATGAGGATATTGTCAAGTATTCCATTAAAGGTTCATTAGGTACGGAAAGTTCTAAAGGTTTTATTCCAGAAGATCTGGAGTCACTGTCACCTGGGGATTGCCGTCTCAGAGGACAGCCTATCCCACATTAAGAACATAAAAATGGAGAAACACTGAAGAAGGCCTACTGCTCCATACTAGGCAGGTCCTTATCAAAACCGCTGCTACCCAAAGCTCCCCAAGAAGATATAGTCTCTATATACCCTCTGTGTTCATGTGCTGTTTGTAACGGATTGACAAAGCTCCTGGAGAGCGAAACGTTGCCACAATAAAATGTCACATTAGTTGCACTTGTGTCCTTTTACTCTATATATATCCGTGGTCTCAAAGCGAAAGCAAGAGAAATTATAAATAGGAGACAGTAAAGAGAGGTGAGATAGATGTATTTGGATGTTATAATGCACATTACTGATGAAGAATTAGACACATGTTCAACATCTGGTATCTTTATTTGTAGACGTTTCATCATCCAGGAGCTTTATCAGTACAATGACATAATGTGAAAAATTATATACAAAAGATGAGGTGAGGAGCACCGAAGTCTTGAAGGAACTGAAGCACAGCCATGGAGCTTGGAGCTTATATACTGGCGTCAGGTGAGGGAGGTGCAACAGACGAAGGAATTGCCACAGGTAGAAGGGATTCCCCTGTGGAAGTAGGTCATACCCAAGGGATGGGCCAGTAGTAAGCAAGAAGGTTGTGTGGATGTCTTCCGTACCAAGATTCCAAGATGTTGCAGTGTTTCACAGGTTACCGAGCGACAAGTTAGGTTAGGTTAGATAAGGTTTCTCAGGAAACAGGGCAAGTGTTTCCTGACGCGGTTCTTAGTCATATGATGACCCGCAGCTGGGGCTTTTGGTCATCCGACCGAGGCCTTCTGCTGGCTTACCCCTCCACTCCTTTAAAAATTACGATAATAATTATAACCATTAGATATAATTTTAACGACAACAGTTGTGATTTGATAATGGTCAAACCATTACAGAAGTGTGAGGAATCATTTATAACCACTGCAGAGTGTATTACTGCCCTTGCAGTACCTCATCTGTCACTTTACCAGTGTATATAGTCCTCAAAATATCATTATCAGTGTAATAAATAATAGTATTTTCTTGTATATTTGTTTATCATTTGCTTCAGTATGATTACTCTGGAATTAAAGGTGGCAATTTAAATGTAGTTTAAGTGGTGTAAAGTGCTCAGTAGGAAGGTGAGGTTCGCACTCCTAGTATGACACGATCACTTCTAGCAAGACAGCTACTGAATGAATACTGGATAATGTGCTTCCTTCTTTGATGGGAAACAGCCGATGTTTAAAAAAAAATGTATATATAACGAATGTTATTCATGCATAACAGTATAGTCTCCATTACGTTGTTCCAAACATGGCGTCGCAATTCAACCAGATATCGCAGCTTCGCTTGACACCCCAGCGGAGGTATACGAAGTTCTGTAGTGAGTGTTGTGGTGCCACTCTGGAGGCAACACGGTGCTAGTGAGGCGACGGGTGCCACTCTGGAGGCAATACTGTGCCAGTGAAGCGACGGGTGCCACTCTGGACTCACCAATGACTGTAGCCCATCCCTGAGACGGACACACGCTGATAAGGTGCACAGTCCTTCAAGCAAGAGTATTGACTGATCTCTCCTGCCTTGATGTGACAGCCTGTCTGGTGGTGGTGAGGGAGGACCTACCTGCTGGTGATGAGGGAGGACCTACCTGCTGGTGGTGAGGGAAGACCTACTTGCTGGTGGTGAGGGAGGACCTACCTGCTGGTGGTAAGGGAGGACCTACCTGCTGGTGGTAAGGGAGGACCTACCTGCTGGTGGTGAGGGTGGACCTACCTGCTGGTGGTGAGGGAGGACCTACTTGCTGGTAGTGAGGGAGGACCTACCTGCTGGTGATGAGGGAGGGCCTACCTGCTGGTGGTGAGGGAGGACCTACCTGCTGGTGGTGAGGGAGGACCTACCTGCTGGTGATGAGGGAGGACCTACCTGCTGGTGGTGAGGGTGGACCTACCTGCTGGTGGTGAGGGAGGACCTACTTGCTGGTAGTGAGGGAGGACCTACCTGCTGGTGATGAGGGAGGGCCTACCTGCTGGTGGTAAGAAAGATGACCTACCTGCTGGTGGTGAGGGAGGATCTACCTGCTGGTGATGAGGGAGGGCCTACCTGCTGGTGGTGAAGGAGGTGACTTACCTGCTCGTGATGAGGGAGATGACCTACCTGCTGGTGGTAAGAAAGATGACCTACCTGCTGGTGGTAAGAAAGATGACCTACCTGCTGGTGGTAAGAAAGATGACCTACTTGCTGGTGGCGAGGAAGGACCTACCTGCTGGTGGTAAGGAAGATGGCCTACCTGCTGGTGGTGAGGGAGAGAACCAGGGCTCCCAGCAGTGCCGGCAGCAGGTTCCAAGAGTTTCGTCGGAGGAGCATCACAACACCCTGTCGAGGATATAATTAAAACCATTATTTTTGAAAATTAAGATACATGTGTAACAGTTGGGTATCTTTATTTATGAAACGTTTCGCCTACACAGCAGACTTTTTCAGGGAGCGGTAGTAATGAAATAAAGATGATGTAATCAGTCCATCAGCCTTAGAGAAAAAGTATTTGAGGTATTCAGTCCCTCAGCCTGGAGAAGAGTTCAGCTCCAAAACACATTTACCACCCGTAGCTCGATCGCTAACGAACTCAGCTCACACACTAAGGTCCGGAGTTCGAATCTCCGGTAGGGCTGGAGAACATTAGAACGTGTTTCCATAAGATACCTGCTGTCCATGGAAATATAAACACATATGCAGTATAATGTGATCCTTTATTGACAACGTTTCACCCACACAGTGGGCTTTTTCAAGTCACACACAGATCTGTGTGTGACTTGAAAAAGCCCACTGTGTGGGCGAAACGTTGTCAATAAAGGATCACATTATACTGCATATGTGTTTATATTTCCATTGTGTCGGTATTTTATACCATTTATTTTCACCTGCTGTCCATGTTCACCCATCAGTATTAAATAGGTACCTGAGTGTTAGTCGACTGGTGTGGGTCGCATCCTACGGCGAAACTGACCTAATTTACTCGAAATGCTCTGCATAACAAGCGGCTTTCTATATAGAGTATGTCATTGATGTCAGCTACGCCTGTATACCTTGTACATGTGAACAATAAAATGGTATAAAATACCGACAGGTTATTAGGTAAGACAGCTAACTGTTGCATATGTGTCTTATCTAACAGCCTTGTACATGTAATTGTAGAAATAACGATATTATTATTATATTATTCTTTCCATAGCTATCTGGCCAAGAGTATGCTACCATCACAGTACGGTTTATCCTGCTAAAACATGCTATAAGCCCGTAAGGGTGGCACAGTATTAAAACTGCAGATGAACTGGAAGTCTTTCTCGCTTCTAGTTATTAATCCGTCCTCAAAAATCCTCTGACGAGGGTCCTAAATAACGCATTCCAAGGCCCTGTCTGCGGGCTTACATCTGGAGGGTAACAGAGCCCAGTCAGGGCACTTGAAATTGTTGACATTGCCTCTAGCCAATAGGAGACCTCCTTTTTCATCCTCCAGTGAGGAAGCAGAGACTGGAAGCAGTGTAACTCTAGACTTTGGAAGAGGTGGTTCTCAGTCGTTCGTAAGTAGGAATAATTACTGGACTTGCTTTTAAAAAATCATGAAAAGTATGAAAGTAGTGGTAAAATCAGTAGGTGACTTGGACCAATGTTAGGTAAAAGGACACAAGTGCAACTAATGTGACATTTTATTGTGGCAACGTTTCGCTCTCTAGGAGTTTTATCAGGCCGTTGGAAAGCGAAACGTTGCCACAATAAAATGCCATATTAGTTCCACATGTATCCTTTTACGTAACATATTGTCGATAATTCTACCAACATTAATACGACTTGGACCTACCTAGCATGAGCCAGTAGACCTTCTGCAGTGCTCCTTCTTTCTTATGTTCGTAAAATAAATATTTAAATCTGAATTTTATTTTTTTTTCTGGATTACTGTTCCTATAAATGTAGATGTAACAGAATTTTTGGCTCCATATCAAGAAGCATAAATAACAGGAATTACCAAGTTATATCTTTGGTCAGGCCTTAGATTATGCTGCACAGTTCTGGTCTCCACGTCACAGTGTGAGCAAATTTGCGCTGGAAAACATGCAGAGATGGATGATGAGGTTAAGAACAGACAGGAACAGGTACACAAATAACCTGCACATGGCGGACTTGAGTCCTGGAGAAGGGGGGTACAGGTCTACACCTGAAGGGGGGTTTAATGTTGAAGTTTGTAACTGTAGTGTGGGCATGCCTCTGGAAAGACAGAAGGAGTGAATATGATGAAATTTTTTCTTTTTCAGCCACCCTGCCTTGGGGGGAATGGGCCGAGGTTTTTAATAAAAAAAAAATATGGAGAAAGGGCTTACACACTTTTATTTTGTAAAATAATTTATAAAATATCGAAAGCACTAGTTTGGTATATTTGGGGAATAGTGGAACAAATTCCAAGTAGTGTAATAAAGTATTTCCTTGGGATCGCCAGCTGGGCCTAAGTTTGATGCAGTACTCCCCCCTCATACGTTCTAAAAGATGTCGGAACGTGCGCATGTCGACACCTGCTGTCCCTGTCCATGTTCCCCATCATTTCCAAAAGATACCTGGGTTTTCGTGGACTGGCGTGGGTCGCATCCCGGGACAAAAAAATGACCCAATTTTGTCCGAAATGTCACAAAAAGCGGGTTTTTTTTATATAGTATGTCAAGTGTCAGCTGGGCCTGTATACCAGTATGTCATTGATGCAGCTAGGCCTGTATACCTTGCCCTGTACTGTATCAGATCTCCTGTTGCCGGGTGGGTGGGGCTGGGGTGCTGAGATGCTGGATGCGGATGTGAGATCTGGGGAAAACTGGGATGCTGAGATACTGGGATCGGGTGCTGAGAACGGGATGCGGGATGTGGGGTGGGGATCGAGATTGGGGTGCTGGGGTGCTGGGGGATTCTTTGGTCGGGTCCGCCCCCTCCCTGCTACCTGGCTCGTTTTTTTTCCTCTTCTTATTTTTTTATTGTCTTTTTCCCTCTCGGAAATAAAAATAAATCGCCCCAGGGGAAAGACACATGGCAACACTTGGGGATCTTATTTGCCGAAACGTTTTTCTGCTCCCAGGGTTTGTCGTCGCAAAAAAGAGAATAACAATTTAATGATGATTTTGGGGGAAACAGACCCTCAGTCTAAGTCTTAAAACCCGGAATGGGGGATGATTACCGTCAATCTTTCTCATCTTCACTGTTTTTTCGATTGGGGCTGAAGAAACCGTTACTGGCGAACGTTTCCTCAATAACCAGGGGCCCTCCCTGTACAATTTCCCTGTCACTCAGTTTTGAAAAACCTATCTTGTGGAAGTAAATTATTATAAATTTTTATTTATTATTATTATTTTATTATTATTATTATTATTATTATTATTTTTATTTTTATTATTTATTATACATAATTTTCTCCTAACCTCGTAACTGTCGAAACCCATCCTTTAAAGGGGTTTTCTGGAGGAGGTGGTACCGATCTTTTCCCTAATGGGGGGAAATAGGTTTTCCCGATGCCTTTTTTTTTTCCCGGTTACCCTCCAAGAGGGACCCGGGTAGGGGTATTTCTTTAAAATCAGTACCCGAAACCCGGGATTGGGGGTTCGTACGTTTTGGGCTTCGTGTGACCACAGTAACGGGCCCAAATTTTTCAGGGCCCCGAAACCCCGGGGAGGGGCTAGTCCAAAGGGGCCCGGGGGCCCCGGGGACGTTTTTAACCCCCATAAAGGGCCCCGGTATTTCTCCTCCTGCCCAAAGCTTATTTTTCCCTGTTTTCCATTTGGGGATAAAAGTTTTTATCCCCTATGGTAAAAGGGGAGAACGTGCCTGAGTATTTATTTTGGGTGGGAGGAGGTGGAGAATGTTTGGGGAAAGGGAGGGTGTGAGAAATTTACCTTTTGTGCTTGTCTCTCAGACCTCGTGAAGAAAAAAGGCGTCAGTGTTGTTTTTCCCTTTTAAGATAGGGAGCCCGTGGGGATGCCGAGTACTCGATGTAAAGTTGTCGCCGGAGGGGGAAAAAGCGTTGCAGATTTAGTTTATCGCAGAGGGGTCACAAGATCAAAAGTGACCTGACCTGCCAGGGTGGGGAAGCGAATTTTTACTCCCGGCCGGGGGGCCCGCCGCTTTCCTGTTTTAAACCCCCGGGTCAAAAACCCAGCTGCCCTCCAAATCACATTCGAGAAGTTCCTTTCTGCTTAGAAAACCCAACAATTTTTCCCTCTGACACTTCCGTTTCCCGTAGCTTTCTTGTAACCACTTCCGGGGTTTTCCAGGGCCCCCTCCCACACCCGACCTTAATGTTGGAAAAAAATTTAGATTCACAAAAGATAAGAAAATAAAAAAAAGGAACACTGAGGAGATCACTGCCAAGACAGTCAGTCCCCCGAAAGATTTTGTGGGGGTTATAAGTAGAGTAGATCTCTGCTGGGTCATCCCCTCAAACAGACCAGGGCCCCGTTGCCCTTTCCTTTTTTCTTACGTTCTTAAGTAGATCTCTGGTCTCCCGGGACGTGAAAAAAAAAGTGATCCTAGTCGGTTTCCCCCGACCTTGGAGGACAACCCCACTCCGGTTAATTGATGAAATCTCTCTTTAATTGGCAGGTCGGCTAACGAGCCTTTTAATTTTGGTAGCTTGGAAGCAATCAGTGGTGCATGCAGGGCTCCCCTCCCTTCCCTGACGGTGCCGGCACCAATTAGAGACTCTCTGGGCCCCTTAAAGAAACCCCTAAAACAAATTTGGGCTCTTTCTGGCGCCCCGGAACTGCTTACGGCGCGGGTTAATTACTTCACGTTTTTATACCCGGAGTTCGGCCCCAAGGGTTGACCTGAACAGGTGACGGTATCTTAGGGGGATGACCCGGCGTTTGTGCCTCGGGGCCCAGAATTGTGTCATTATATGAATTACTGGCGGATCGGTAATACAATTAAATACATTTGCCCCATGCGTGGCTGACTGGACAGAGAATGGCGGCCATTTTGTAGACGGGGGGGGCAAAGCTTTCCCCCATTTTAAGAAATAAGAACAAAGAAGAGAAACACTGCGAGGCCTACTGGCCCCCTGCGAGGGAGGTCAAGTCCCTACCGGCTTTAAACCAATGCACCCCAATAGTCAGGTCAGGTCCATTTGACTTAAAAGGGGGGAAACGGGAACCCCACCTGGAGCACAAACTTAGGTCCAACCACACCCACCCACATCCATAAAAATTTTATCCAAACCCATTTTTTGCTACACAACGTTCTGGCCCTTAACTGTATCGGGAGTTTGTTTCCCCTCATCCCAACTCTATTCAAAAACTTTCCCAATCCTTCCTAAAATGAATTTTTTTCCCAAATTAAAACCCTTGCTGCGA